TTCAGTCTCCCATTCTGCCACGGAAGGGACCTCAACCGCTTTATTATTCGCGTTTGTATCCCGCCCATCCCGCGGCCGGGCTCAGGGCGGGTAGCATCATTATAATAAATACAATTTCAGTTTAAAACACGATAAAGCGTTATAACAATTGAAACAACGGGTACAGCTTGAAACAGCGTCAGTTGGCTATAAAGTTCTGGCCTGAGGGTGCAGTGAGTTCAAGGCCAGTTGTCGGCGGTCAGTAAGTAGACGGGTGAGAGTAACCTCAGTAAGGCCACGTATGGGCGCCTGCTGCCTCAACCAAAGGCCCGGCGGAAGAGCTCCGTCTTGCAGGCCCTGCGGAATTGAAGGAGATTCCACAGGGCCCCGGTCTCAATAGGGAGCGTGTTCCTCCAAGAACATCTTCTCATTCTGCGACCTCGGCATATTCATAGCTCTTATTTCCCTCAGAGATGGGATCAGCAGCCTGGGAGGTTTAGATGAAAGCCAGGACTCCTCGACACCGGACTGTTCCTGGTGTGTTATCAGTGTTTCTCAGACTGTGGGTCGGGACACAAAAAGTAGGTTGCGGGCCAGCCTTCCCTAATGGCCACCTGTATAGAAATATGGATTTCTAAAAACCCCTGCCTTCCCCTGGAATGCCTTTTGCTGATACCCTGCTGTGTTGATTTCGTATTGAAGCCATATGGCCTCAATAGCCTGCCATATAACCCTACATTTTTCACACTTCCATGCTGGCAGAAGACCAGATGGCCTAGCAAACAAGCAGTCACGTAGGCCATGGGTGGGTTGGAATTTGGGGGCCACATGACTGCGGGTGTGGCCTTCAGAGCTCTGACCATTCAGATGTTGTCCCCATGGCAACCCTACAATTGGACACTCCCATGTCTACTCCAGTTGGCCCCTGGCCAGGGCTAATTTGGAGACTGGAATTGCCCTATATCTGGTCAAACCCCTATGGAGAGAACTCTCTCTCTTCTGTTCCTGCTATCTCTGCTGCTCTGTGGACTTACCCTTGAAATGCTCTTGTCCTGCCATGTGGTCTGGGGGAGAACAAAGGATCCCCTTGTGCCTTAGAGCACATGAAGGCAAGGAGGGGATGTTCCTCCTCAAACCCCCTTGGGGGTACCTGGACTATTCCAATGGACAATATTGAACTCTTGGATGCTACCCTGATGTTGGTAAATATGCTTCTTACTGTTTAGTTAAGGCAAAACTTGCCTAGGCTTGTTATTTTGAAATCCTTATTAGTCTGTGCTAAGTTCTCTACTGAATAAACCTTATTCTTGTTTATAACTAGTGTCTGTTTTGATGTGTAACTGAATTCCAAGCTAAATCTTGCAGCCTAAACTGCTGACTGATTGCGCCACCTTGGTAAGATTAACTGCGCAGCTCTAGATTGAGTTGTTAATGTGTTAAGTCCCAGAGGCCAGTTAAGAGTCTGAACCTTGCTCTTGGGCCGGAAAGGGACCCTAGTTAAAAAAGGTTCTGGTGGCTATTGTCTTGAAATCCAGAGAGCCTACATCTGTGGGTGATTGAGTAATGTATTGAGCTAGTGTAGAGTTCTTTCCCCCATTCCTGGACTGGCCTGGGGGGCAGAATCTATACACCACCTCTGCCTTTTCCATTGCTCTCGTTTGTATTTTGGAAACCAAGATCTGACCCTGGGAATGGTATCTTCCGTGCCACGTTCTCCTCTCTCCACTGTGCAGTAATGAGAAGAAGAAGTGTGGTTAAGAGTGTTGGATTCTAATCTGGAGAACCGGGTTCGATCGCGCCCTTCTCCACGTGAAGCCAGCTGGGTGACCTTGGGTCAGTCACAGTTCTTTCAGAGCTCTCTCAGCCCCCCCCAAAAAATAAGTCCGGCTCGCCACCTAGTGGTGCATAGCACTAAAAGAGCTATAGGCTGCCAGATAATTTTAGGCTCTCCTGGCTGTACTACACACAATGCCGTACAATAATTATGTTTGTTGTCCTGATGGTCACTAGAGTGAGTTTCTTAGAATCTCATGGGGGGTTAGAGGAGAGGGTGGGCAAAGGCTGGACAGTGTAGAAAACGGAATGCACATGGGTTCCAGGATCATAGTTTGCCCGTGGTGTCAAAAAGACTTTGGGCCAGCCCTGGCAGGCACACCATACCAAGTCAATTTGGACTTGTAGGTCAGCATATCAAAATGTTTGGGAACCGCTGTGTTACATCATTGCCAGTAACCTGGATCAGGTATGGATGTGCTGCAAACTGGCAGCCAGTGCAGAGAAGAAGAAGAAGAGATTGGATTTATACCCCACCCTTCACTACCCAAAGCAGTCTCAGAGCGGCTTACAAACTCCTTTCCCTTCCCCTCCCCACAACAGGTACCCTGTGAGGTAGGTGGGGCCGAGAGACCTCTTTCAAGGACTGCTCGTGAGAGAACAGCTGCGAAAGAACTTGTGAATGACCCAAGGTCACCCCAGCAGCTGCATGTGGAGGAGTGGGGAATCAAACCCGGTTCTCCCAGATTAGAGTCCGCACACTTAACCACGATACCAAACTGGCGTAGGAGCAGGATAAAATTCTCCCAGTGCTCCAAGGGGAGGGGGCATGAATGCGAGCATAGCAGCGCACTCCAAGAATGGTGTCGTTTGCATAGGTCCTTCTGAGTGCAGAATTTTGATTGCTCTGGAGGAGAAAATTTGAGTCAGCGTGGGTGGGTGGTGGAGAGTCCGCGCAGCCCCGGCCAAGCGATCCAGCACAGATATGCCCTTGTTGATATTGTGACTGTAATGTAATAGTTCGCTCTGTTTTATGCAGGCGTGCTCTGCTTAGGGTGTAAAGAGGCAAGTGTTTGATACATACAGTTCTTTGACAGCGATGCGGGTGGTGGGTGGGTAGGATGCCGGTTGCGGGAGGCTTATGGCATTGTTTTCCTGGAAATGTGATACCTTAAACTGCTTCTTCGGGTCCTTCTCTTGTGAAATTATCCTGCCAGCTACTGGAACAGGAAGAGTTAGGAGAAAGCTGTAGATGGTTTGTCCCCAGAAGATAGTGAAAGTGTTCTATACAAATTTAAGAGTCTTATAACCTTAGCTTGTTATTTAGTTTTGTCTTGCATTATCTCGAAACATCTTCATCGCGTGACCTGTTGATTTTCTGTTCAGCCCCTGTCTATAAGTTTGAGCTCTGCCTTCTATTCCAATGTATTTGATGAAGTGTGCCTGCGCACGAAAGCTCACACCTTGAATAAACCTTTGTTGGTCTTAAGGGTCCCACTGGACTCTAGATCTGTGCTGTATAAAATGGGCTACTATGTAAGAAGACGGTGGAGCCGTTCACACAAGCTAACGCTCTCATTCCCTGAGCTGGATGGCCGAGGCCGGCCCGATCTCGGAAGCTCAGCAGAGCCGGCCCTGGGTAGTCCTTGGATGTGGGAGACCTTGAAGGAAGTCCAGGGTCTCCGTGAGGAAGCAGGCCGTGGCAAACCACCTCTGAGCGTCTCTTGCCTTGAAAACCGTCTGGGATCGTCGTAAGCTGCCTGTGACCTGACAGTACTTTGCGCCAGTGTTCCCTCCAAGCTGAGTTAGTGTGAGCTAGCTCATGGCTTTTTAGCCTCCGGCTCACACATTCTTGTCTTAGCTCAGGACGGAAGGCTCCAGAGCAGACTAATTGAGGCAGTAGCGGAATCACCTGCTCACAACTTTAATGCCAGCAGCTCACAAAGCAGGATTTTTGCTCGCAGGACTCCACAGCTTAGAGGGAACACTGCAGTTTGCGCTCTCATTAAGTCAACTCAGTTTGCCTCCGTTGATCCCGACGGAGAAGAAAATTTGCGATAGACGATCGATAACACTACAGAATGTAGATTCAGGTGGGGAGCCATGTCCCCTCTAAGCCAGTGGTGGCGAACCTATGGCACGGGTGCCAGAGGTGGCACTCAGAGCCCTCTCTGTGGGCACGCGTGCCATCGCCCCAGCCAGGCCCAGACCATCATTAAAGTGTCGAATTCTCTGCCAAATAATTTTAAGTAAATGAAAGCATTTGGGATTGCTTTCCTTACTTTGTTTGGATCATCTTAAGTTAATGTATGAGTTGTTTTTTCTAAAGTAAAACCTCAGTATTCAGGTTAAATTGCCGTGTTGGCACTTTGCGATCAATAAGTGGGTTTTGGGTCGCAGTTTGGGCACTTGGTCTCTAAAAGGTTCACCCTCAGTGCTCTAAGCAGAGTCAGTATGAGCTAGCTCACAGGTTTTTTTATCCTCCGGCTCACAGATTTTTGTCTTAGGAAGGAGGGCTCCAGAGCAAACTGATTTATGCAGGAGCCAAATGGCTCGCTCGCAACTTCAATGCCAGTAGCTCACAAAGCAGAATTTTTGCTCACAAGACTCCACAGCTTAGAGGGAGCGTTGGTGGGGAGCCGTGTTGGTCTGAAGCAGCGGAACAAAGTTTGAGTTCAGTGGCACCTTTAAAACTTTGTTGGTCTGAAAGGTGCCACTGGACCCAAACTTTATTCTAATACAGAATGTAGCTGTTGACAGGTCAGAGGGAAGCCATATGGCCGGTTCTGAATCCAGCACCACCTTAGAAGACCACCAAGATTTTTTTTTTGGGGGGGGGGATGAGCTTTCAAGAATCACAGCTATCTGGCGAAAGGAGTTTTGGCTCTCAAAAGCTTATACCCTGAAGGTCTTGTTGGCCTCTACGATGCTGCCGGAGTCGAATCTAGCTACAAAAGGTCACTTTGTGTTAAGTCTCTCCTCGAGGATCCTAGCCTTTCTGCAGCAAACGGTGTGGATTTCAGAGTTGGTAGGTGACGTCATCGGGTGCAAGGAGGATCACTCTTAAATGCGTTTCGCAGTTGTATTCTTTCCCTGTGGGGGCACTGAGATGGCTCTCGCATGCTCCAGAGATCACCCTTACAGCTTTGCGTTATATGGTGCCCTGTGCTCTCGCTGGCTCTCGGGTGTCCGTTACATGATCTCCGCACAGCTTTCTATCCCTCGACTCCGTCCCGTTAAGTCTTTCAGCGCAAGCGTTTTAGATACTGTGTCCTGTCCCCGTGTAGTATCTGTAGGAGCAGTTGTGGAAGACTTCCCGATACTCAGACGGCCGCCCAGCAGATGTGAAGTGTTCACACAAGTTCTGCAAATGCAAGCAGTCCCCGCATTTCAGGTATCTTTCCACGAACGGCTACAGCCTCTTCTTTCTTCCCCTGGGATTGTAGAAAGCTTGACGGTACCGAATGGCATTTAGACGGAAAGCTTCCGGAAGGTAGGTTTAGTGTAGCAAAAGTGCCTTTTGATTCTCGCATCTCCAGCCCCCTTGGATTAGTTCTTTGTCCCAGGTGGCGATTTCAGTGGTCGGATCCTGTGTCTGAAATGCAATTCCGGGGCCTTTGTCTTTTCAGTCCCGGAATGTGAGTAGGAGAAGTTACGCCTAGAGACTTCTGGAATCCATGGTGGTTTAGTGTTAATAGCGGAGGCAGCATATCCTACAGAAAACAACTGAATGAGCTTTTTGTGAGAGCGGGTCCATAATATCACAGGACGCTTGTTGCTGGGACGCGTGTGAGAGTTAAAAGCCCTTCATGGGGGCAGGGGGAGGAATTCCAGTGATTTGGGTGAGTGAGCCGCGGCGATGGGTATTGTGAGTCCTGCCGTCTTCTGCTGTTCCTCGCAAGGTGTGTTGAGTCACTTGTCAGAACGGTGTAATTTTCTCAACGGTGAGCCCGGAACATTTTGTAAAACATACTGTCTTTCCACTCGGATTTCTCTTTCTTTGTGTGCGTTTTGTTTTATTCTAAAGAAACCCAGAAACCCTCAAATGAGTTTTTAGCACAGTTGGGCACGACTCTGATTGTGGTTGGTTTAAATAGTCTTTAAAATTCAAAGGCGTTCGTCTCGGGGCGGCGGCGTGACGGCATCCCCTGCAAGACGAAAAGGAAAGAATTGAGCTGTGTCTACAGGTTTACAAGCCCATGACTGCAGAGGACTTCCTTTCTTGGGGATCTGCGTGAGAAAACTGGCTCGTCCCAGATAATCCTCGGTATTCCTTCTCTGCTGCCTCCGACCTGCCTCCATGTGGAAAGAGCATCCGTTCCGCAGTGAAACCGAATGGAGGCGTGTGCCTTGGCTTGCCGTGGGGGGTGTCCAGAGTAGGTTTCCTAACAGGTTGCTGTTTTCTCTTTCGTTACAGGCGTGAAGTAAAAATGGTGCAGAAATATCAGTCCCCTGTTAGAGTCTACAAATACCCCTTTGAGCTCGTCATGGCGGTAAGTGACGTTTCACGTCTGCCCCTGTCTTTCCCCCACAGTTCAGACCGCGCAGAATCCTGCAGAATCCTCTAGTCCGCGTGCCAGTCGGTGTCAGGTTCCGAACACAAGGTTTATTTCTGCAATTTTTGGGGCGGGGCTTCTGGAAGGGTGTCTCTTTTGTGTTCCGTTTCCTGTTGTGCCTTGTTCACAGCTTGTCACCAGAAAACAAAAACAACCCCCCCCCGCTGTGCTACTAACTGTTCTGTAAGGCAGTGTTCAGTTGATTTGAGGGAACCGTTGACAAAAATTGGTGTGTGTGTGTGTGAGTGGGCTGGTGCGAGTTTACGTTCACCTCTTGCCTGATTAAAGATCTTAGCATAGATTCGCCAGCCTCCAGACGGGCCCTGGAGATTTCCCGCTTTGACAATTGATCTCCAGACGACAGATCAGTTCCCCTGGGGAAAATGGCTGCTTTGGAGGGTGGACCGTATGGCATTTTACCATGATGAGGCTCCTCCCCCCCCCAAGCCCCGCCCTCCCCAGGCTCCACCCCCCAAATCTCCAGGTATTTCCCTGCCCAGAGCTGTCCACCCTGTTTTGTCAGGTCTTGTGAGAATTGCAGTCCACTCCCTCCATCTCTACTTTTGGAGCCTGTAGACCATATCGTGCAGCATCTGGTGATGAGATGTTTGGGAAGATGTTTCATTTATTTTTTTTAATCCTCACTTAGGAAGAATAAATTGTTCTTTCCCTTCCATCCCCCACCCCCCAAGCCTTGCACCATGTTTTGTGTCCTTACGGGTGAGAAGATACAACTCCCCACCCCAGTCAAACCTGTCCTGTCATTCTGAGGACTCGTTTTATATGGTGCATCTTGTGATAAATCTTGTTAGAGAGTGTGATGGTGAAGGCGTGGTGGTGGTGGTGGTGGTGAGTTCTGACAATTGTCTGGTGAAAACAACAGTAGCTGAGTCTCGTCTGATTTGCATCAGTGCATCCGGGAGAAATGCACTATTGCATTCTTTGAGATTCCTGGCTCACGGGGTTGAGGGCTTTTGCCTGTAGAATGCGCCCTCTTGACATTCTTCACCAACTGTGGTTCATTTAAACATGCAGGCAGGCCCGTAAAATTTGTTTTCTGTCGACTTGTGCAGTTGTCACTGAATCGCACGTTCCCACTTCTGATGGGCTTTGCCCCTGGAAATGCCCTTCATACTTTCCATCTTTACAACTTTGTGGGAACACACAGATGGCAGATGCTTGTCAGTAAATTGGTTGCTGGTACAGGAGGGATACCTCTGTCGTAAGCTTGTTAGCAGGTCTCTTGGAGGCTAGAAACCGACACGTTTGTTTTGGTGTCTTCTAGTTTGGTTTCGGGAAGTTTGTCTCTGTGATTCGATGCCTAGCCCCTGGAGATAAAGGGGTTGTGGACTGTAAGCCATTCTCCCATGGTCCATGGATGTGAACTGATTTATAGGAAGTGAACATAAGGTATAAGCGATTAAAGTAGTGATATTTTCTGGCAGAAATAGGAATTGATCTTGAGTCTTCCCAATCATAACCTAAGACTTTAACTTATCAGTGTTGTGTGGTCTGAGGTGGAACCTCAAGAGCATCTAAGCAAAAATAACACCAAAAAATTGCCACACTTAAGGTGCTGAAACCAAGCAAGCATTTACATTATTAAAAAAAGTAAAAGGTAAAGATTTCCCTTGCTTGAGAGCTAGTCGAATCCGACTCTAGGGGTCATCTCCGTTTCCAAGCCGAGGAGCGAGCGCTGTCTGAAGACGTTTCCATGGTCATGTGGCCGGCATGACTGAACACCGAGGCGCACGGAACACTGTTACCTTCCCACCACTAAAGTGGTACCTCTTTATCTACTTGCAATTTCTTGCTTTTGAACTGCTGGATTGTCAGGAGCTGGAACTAGAGACGGGAGCTCACTCCGTCATGCGGCGCACTCAGGTCTCAAACTGCTGAACTACAGACCTTCCAGTCTGCAGCTCAGCATCTTAACCTCTTAGCCACCACAGCCCCTTTTATTAATAAAAAGTGATGCGTAAATATCTCAGTGGGTTTAATCACCATTAAGGCTTAGCCCTGGAGCTTGTTTTCAATGCTAGGGTTCAGCATCCAAAGGCAGTGACTCAGAGCAAAGGTAGAGCACTGATATCGCCAAGTGGCCCATCAGCCCTACTCGAAGGGTGGTCGCAGGAGCTCTCTGTTTCTGGAAACTTGGCCGCCGCTGTTCTTCCTGGTCTGAAAAAGAACACCGAATACCGGATATCAATTTTGAGCATATTACAAGGACGGCATTAGTAAGTGTGGAGAAATATGCATATCTGTGGCTCTGTAGCATATTACAAGGACAGGTCTCGGAGTGATACTGTCTCTATTCAGCACAGCATTAGTAACTGTGGAGAAATATGCATATCTGTGGCTCTGGGGACTGGGATATACTGGTCTGAGATCATATTACTATCAACCCAATGCTATGCAGCAGAGTCAGTCCTGTGAACTCAGTGGACTTGGATTGGAGTAACTCTGCATGACGTAAAAATGTTGGATAAACACATGGAGCAGAGGTCCATGAGTGGGTATTAGCCACAAGGGGTAGGTGGAACACTATGTCTGGGGCAGTGATGCTCTGTATTTGTGGTGCTTGGGGGGGGGGACAGTGGGGGGGGGTTCTGGTGTTCTGGCCCTGCTGGTGGACCTCCTGATGGCACCTGGTATTTTTGGCCACTGTGTGACACAGAGTGTTGGACTGGATGGGCCACTGGCCTGAGGCAACATGGCTTCTCTTATGGTCCTACGTCTGGGGCAGTGACGCTCTGTATTCTTGGTGCTTGGGGGAGGCAACAGTGGGAGGGCTTCTGGAGTCCTCGCCTTGCTGGTGGACCTCCTGATGGCACCTGGTATTTTTGGCCACTGTGTGACACAGAGTGTTGGGCTGGATGGGCCACTGGCCTGATCCAACACGGCTTCTCTTATGTTCTTATGTTGATCTTGAGTCGGAGGAGGAGCTTCCATCTCAGAGGGCATGACTTCCCAGCTGATTGAGTCTCAGGCATGTGTGTTCTGAGGGAGGTAGCCGCAAGGACATTGTCATATCTAGTTTGGCACTGTCATGACAACCCCCCCCCCCCACCAAGAGGACAACCAGAAGGGCCATAGGCCAATCTGAGGGAAGTCCCGAAGGCTCATGGGACACCTGACAGTACTGGATCCCCTCCTGCTGCCTCAGTCAAAGGGCCTGCCCCCGAAGGCTTGGCTCCAGGCAGTGTTGTCAGCATTCCAGAATCCAGAGCTGGACCCTGGACTGCTAGTCCCCCAAGTTCTCCCTCAGCCTGGCAAGAGTGACAGAGACGTCCGGCGCGTGCGGAGGCAATTCAGCAATGGAAAAGTGCTAGTCTGGCAGCCCGTGCTCCAGCTACTGAGCCAGGTCACTGCCTCAGTGCCTGTAGAACTTCACAGGATTGGGGCCCAATCGAGCGCTGGCCTGATAAAGCCCAAGAACAGGTAGGGCCTCTTGCCCTCCAGGAGACTTAGGCCCCGGGCTAAGCGGACAGCCTTGCTGGCTCAGCCAGTTTTGTCTACTTAGCTTTATCCGATGCTGCCTGTGAGACTAGATCAGGGGCGGCCAGACTTGCCCAGCGTGAGAGCCACATAGAATAAATGTCAGATGTTTTGAGAGCTGAACAAATATTACATGCACGTTTTTATTTTAAAACATGCAAGTTTGCTTTATTAATATTGAATGAGACTGCCAAAAATAAAAAACAAAAGGCGTAAAAAGGTATTGATGATGATATTTATTTGTCCAATGATATTTATTTGTCTAAGAGAGAGAGAAAAAAGAGAGAGGTGGAAAGAAAGAATGAGAGAGAGAGAGAAAAAGAGAGAGGTGGAAAGAAAGAATGAAAGAGAGAGAGAGAGAGAGAGAGAGAGAGCGCAAATAAACGGGAGGGGAGGAAGGGAGAAAAACATGCCTCTCCTTCGCTTCCCGAGCTGCAGTTTGGCCACCCCTGGACTAGATCCAGACCCAGCTACTGAACCTGCTGCGAGCCATTGTTGGAACCAGAAGAGGCCCCTGGATCACCTTGGGCTAGTAATTCAGGCCTCACCCTACCTAGCAGGGTTGTTGTGACTTGTGAAGATCATCAGCTCCATGCAGGAATGGAAGATAAAAATGTAATAAAATAAGCATAGTTACACCACAGCGTTCATCGGAGTCACGCTTCATGAGCAGCTGGGATTTTGTACTGGCTCTGCTACGCTGTGGTTTGACAACCTTTCTGAATGAACACTGTATTTAAGGGAAGACACTGTGATAGTTAAACATCTTGTGCTTTCTTTGGGACTGAATTATTTAAATGATTTGCAGGATTAATCTTCCCCTCTTCCTTTTACCCAAATTACTGAAACTGTATTTGCTCGATCCTCTGAGCAAACGTTCTGTTTCTTGAAATGGCCATGTCTCGTGCTGTACAGACCCAGACGGCTGAATATTTCAGTCTCAAAACTTCTCAGATCACAATATTTCCACAGACAGGCGTAACCGTTGGGAGTATTTCACTCCCCTGAGCTTTGCGTTCACGAGGGGATTCTTGGTGCAGCTGTGGGAGCGCTTTTGAGCAGCCGGAGTTCCTTTGAAGGCCTGTGGATTTTAGAGGCTGAGGGAGAGCGGCTAAACTCGCTGGATGGAGCTTTTGAGTCTCTCCAAACGACGGAACGATAAATTTGCCCCCAGTAAAGTCTGACGCTTACTGCATCCTTGGATGGTTCCGCAGATGAGACGTTAATATTCCCGTTGGGCCTTCCAGGCCAAACAGGAGACGTATCTCGAATGGATCTTAACAGTTTGTGGCACACGAGCCTTCCTCTGCTCAGGGGTCGCCTTCAGAATGCACGGATGTCCAAGGAGGGGCCGTGGCAGAGCGGGAGGTAGGGTTGCCAGCTCTGGGTTGGGAAATTCCTTGAGTTTTGGGGGGGTGGAGCCTGCGAAGAGCCGGGTT